GCCCTCGCCCTCCTCCTCGCCTCGGTCCTCCGCCCCCCCCCGGCCCGTCTTCTCGCTCGCCCGCCCTCCAGGTCGGAGCACGCTCTTCCTTGTCCTCGCCTCGGGTCTATATCTACGGCCTCTCCCCCCCCTCACTCCTCCTCCCCCGCTTCGGCCAACCATCAACCCATCCTCCCCCGCTTTCCCATTCATTTGGGCGTGCCCGTCCTTCGTTCGACCGCCTCCGCCGCAGCGTTGCGTCAAACGGGCTCCTCCCCTTCCCTCCTTGCTCGGTCTCCTCCCCCTTCTCCAACTAGAAAGTCGTGGCCACCCGTTCCATCATGAGCGCACCCCAGTCGCAGCCCGTCAACAACGAGGCACTCGTGCCGTCGCAGGCCTACCAGCCGCCCACCACGGCGCCGCCGCCTGCCGACCACGACACCGTCGCCGACGACAAGCACGCCTACACCTCGTCCGAGCGCGACCTCGAGAGCAGCAGCGGCAAGCCCGCCATCGAGAACATCGAGTCGCACCCCGATGGCGAGCCCAGCCGCTTCACCCGCGCCTTCAAGGCTGTCCGTCACCACAAGGCCACCAGGATCGCCTTTGACTTTGCCCTCATCGGACTCATCGTGAGTGTCCGGCTCCCTCCTGTGGACGGCGTGGGCCAGGCCCTAGCGGACGTTGCCGGTGTGGGCTAGCGCGGCGGCGCTGCTAGAATCTCGAGGCATGCATGCCGCTGAGGCCTTGGTGGCACGGTTGGGGCCCAGTGCAGCGGCGGTTGCGGGCGCAAACGGCGATCGGGCCGTAGGTTGCCGGCGGGCGCGCCGTGTCATCTTCTTGCCCCTTATGGCAGATCGCTGACCCGCTTTCTGACGCCCTTCGCTTTGCGCGCTCGGTCGCTGCTCCACCACAGCTCGGCTGGTGGCTGCCCGGTATCATCCGCGAGGAGACTCGGCACAAGTGGGTGATCACCACCATCTGGTCGTGGTTCTTCATCCTCCTCATCCTCTTCCACAACGACCGCTACCTGCCCAAGAAGCCCTTTGCCAACGGCATCGAGTTTGTCTGGACCCGCATCGCCGCCAACCCCTGGAGCCGCATCCCATACTACGGCAAGCTCGCGGTTGGCTGGATTGCCATCCTCGCCCTTTTCCTCGGCTCGGCCTTTGGCATCAAGGAGGTTCCCGAGTCGAGGTACGCCGACCGCGCTCGCTCGCTGTTCGGCGTCTTCCTCATCAACTGCGCCTTCTACGCCATCTCGACCAAGCGCCGCCACATCAAGCTGCAGCCCGTCCTCACCGGCATCGGCCTCCAGATGATCATCGGCCTGCTCGTCTTCAAGACGGGTGCCTTCTACTCGGTCGCCCGCTGGCTCGGATTCGCCGCCGCCGACCTGCTCCAGCAGGGCATCAACGGCGGCGCCTCGTTCTTCTGGAACGACCTCGCCGGCAAGCACTACTTCTTCATCGACACGCTCAGCTCCATCATCTTCTTTGTGGCGCTCGTCGTCCTGCTCTCGTACATCGGCGTCATGTCGTGGTGCGTCAAGAAGTTTGCCTGGTTCTTCTTCAAGCTGATGGGCATCTCGGGCGCCGAGGCCGTCGTTGCCGCCGCCTCGCCCTTCATCGGCCAGGGCGAGAACGCGGTGCTGGTTCAGTCGTTCCTCGACCTCATGACCAACGCCGAGCTCTTCCAGATCCTCGTCTCGGGCTTCTCGACCATTGCCGGCTCCGTCTTCCTGGCCTACGTCGGCATGGGCGTCTCGCCCACCCACCTCATCACCTCGGCCGTCATGTCGATCCCCGCCGCCATTGCCGCGTCCAAGATGGTGGTGCCCGAGACCGAGAACCCCGTGACCCAGGGCTCGATCAACATTGAGATCAACGAAAAGGGCGACGCCGTCGACCCGCTCCACGCCTTTTCCAACGGCGCCTGGCTCGGCGTCAAGGTGGCCGCCCTCATCTTCTGCAACGTGCTCTGCATTGTCTCGCTGCTGAGCGCCGTCAACGGCCTCCTCACCTGGATCGGCAACTTCTGGACCATCAACGAGCTCACCTTGACGCTCATCGTCGGCTACATCCTCTACCCGCTCGTGTGGTGCATGGGCGTGCCCAAGGGCGAGCTGCTGCGCGTCTCGCAGCTGCTCGCCACCAAGGTCATCGCCAACGAGTTTGTCGCCTACGGCCAGCTGCAGAAGATCCGCGAGAGCGCCTTCCCGCTCAGCGACCGCTCGGTCCTCATCTCCAACTTTATGCTGGCCGGCTTCGGCAACATTGGCTCGCTCGGTATCAACATCGGCGTGCTCTCGGCCCTCGCGCCGAGCCGCGGCGCCGCCATTGCCCGCCTGGCGCCCCTCTCGCTGCTGACGGGTATCCTCGTCACCTGCTCGTCGGCGTGCATCGCCGGCATCCTCGGCACCGCATGAGGCGAGCCCCCCCTCCCTTTCGCTCTGGTGATGTCGGCGGCGGTCGAGGATGGCGTGACGAGGAATCTGGGCCTCTTGGCCTCGATCCTTCTATCCGTCCGTCCATCCACCTGCTCTTTCTCTTGCTCTGCTCGCATGCTTTGCCGCACCTTCCCCTCTTGTCCCCTTGCGCCGTCTACCCAGCACATTTGTTTACCTGCTCCCTCCCCTGCGGAACGCACGCTGGACGGAGGACGACCCTCGCCACGACCACGACTACGACGACGCCTCGTCACGTCATCATCGAAATGGACCCGCTGCTCCCCCGCCGTCTTCTACCTTTGCTACCGTACCGTCCTGTTTCTCTTCTGCTTCGTCTTGGTCGGTTCCCTCGCACCTCGCCCCCCTCTCCTGTCCTGCCATCGGTCGGCTACAGTAGAGGGAGGCCGGCTGGCTCCGGACCCCCCCCTCCGTCTTGCTTTGGGCTTATAATGTGATGCGTCCACAGTTGTACTACCTTTCCCTCCCTCCCTCCCTCCCTCCCTCCCTCCCTCCCTCCCTCCCT